TTCCCAGGAGGTTCACAGAGCACGCACGTGTACGCGCCGGTCGTTGAAAGTAGGTATTTTTGGATTCCCAGATCCCAATCTACTTCAAGCGCCTTCCTACTTCAATAATCGGCACGCTTTTGCTGTGTCTTGTTATTCTCCGGGAGGACCTGGACCCAATCAACTTAATCCGCCTTCCTACTTTATGCTTTTACCTACTTCTTCCGACCGACGTGTAACTCAGGGTAGGGCCGTTTTTTTGCATCCCTCACAACAGTTTCGTCAGGGGAGGAAGAAGGGTACCCCTACTGCTGCCTCTCGCCTGCGCTTTCCCCTGTCTGTGCCTCGGAGGCCCTCGCCGCCACCGCTGGATCCGCCTCGACATTCTGGTCACGACGCACTCTGGGAGAGGTCCGCGGAGTAGCAGCCGCGGGTGTACAGAACCCCCACCCTGACACGTCGATTAGTGAGTTGTCCGTTTTCGGTTCTCGAGATGCCGCCGCGGCCGTCATTTTCCAGGCCTGCGCCCGCCAGGATTGGGCCTGAGGTCGTTTTCACCAAACCACGTTTTACTAGAGGGGATTCTGTCCATCCCCGAAGCAGTATCGGTACCTTGTGGCTTCCCATTTCGCCCCCCCCCCCCCCCGCCCCCCTTCAGAAAGAGGCAGCCCAGTTCAGGCGATCGCAAGCATGGATCAGGGGGGCGTGGGGCACCTTGTGACTTCCCCACTTCGCCCCCCGCCCCCCCCCGCCCCCCCTTCAGAAAGAGGCAGCCCAGTTCAGGCGATCGCAAGCACGGATCAAGGGGGCGTGGACTGGCGACGGGCCCCGTCTCCATGGGAAGTCGCGGACTTCCGCCGCCGCAGGAGGGAGAGGCGGCACCGGCCGCACCTTGGGGAGGGCAGCTCCCCGGATCCATGGATTTTTGGCGACCTCGCGCCAGATCCACGGATCGCCAATCCATGTTTGCGCGCCCCCGACCAGTGCCCGGGGATGCTCCTTCTCAGGAGGGGAAAAGACACACAGACACAAGGAGTCGTCGATTTCCCAAGAAAGTATGGAGAAACATGGGCAGTGGGGGGGGAAGACAGAAACCCAGGAAAGACGGGAACATATGGGGGATCACTTGATTTTGGTGTACTTCTTTGTGTGTCCTTGGGCCCCTTGACCCTGGAGAGGCCACCGGCTTCGGCCCCGCTGCTGGGCGCTCTCCTTGATGCACGGCCATGGCTTCGATTGAGTCGGGCCTGTCCCTCTACAGGGGGAATATTCAAGCATAGTCATAAAAATAGTCTGGGCACTATTTTTGGATATTTTTTGACCACTTCAGAGTCAAAAAATAGCCTGGGGGCTGTTTTTGGGTATTTTTTGACTTTATTTGTGTGTACTTCTTTGTGTGTCCTTGGGCCCCTTGACCCCGGAGAGGCGGGAGGGCGCTGCCCCTCCCCGCCCGACCCTTCTCTCCCCTCGCGCGAGGGCCCCCAGACTCCCCGGCGGCCCCCGGGGACCCCGGGCGCCCTCGAGTCTTCCATCGAAGGGTGGCATTTCTCAGGAGGGGAAAAAACACACAGACACAATTCATCGCCGATTCTCAGGAAAATATACGCAGAAATATGGGAAGTGGGGGGGAAGACAAAACCAAGAAAATATGGGAAAACATGGGGAATCAGTTTATTTGTATGTATTTATTTGTGTGTCCCAGGGTCCCTTCAATTTTTCGGGGGTGGACAGACCTCCTACCCTGCCACGTCGATCAGCGAATCGGCCGTTCTCGGTTCGCGAGAGGGCGTCGCGGCCATCCTTTCTGCGGGTCCAGGTCCGTCGGTTTCGGTCCCAGACCATTTTCACTAAGGGGACGTTTGTTAAAGGGAGGGTTGTCCACCGCCGAATTTTGATGGGTCCCACCCAGAGATCGTTTTTTTTTTTTTTTTTTTTTTTTTTTTTTTTTTTTTTTTTTTTTTTTTTTTTATATATATATATATATTATTTAATATCTTTTCAATCTATATATAAGCATATTATTATCATTAGTATTATTATTATTATTTTCATTATTATTATTTAAAGAATGAAGAAATAACAAAAATCATAATAATTATTATTATTACTATTATTATTATTATTATTATTATTATTTTTATTACTATATATATGCATACAAAAATAAATATAATGCGGGGTTCCCAAGAGTGCCGACCCTTCCCCAATGGCGGGTTTCCCATCCTGAGTCGTTTTTTGACGGGCCCGGGGCCTGGCGAGGTCTTCCAGAAGCCGAAAAGGGTGAAACAACCTCCGTCTTGCTTTTTTCCATGCGTTGGATCTCTGGGAAACTGCAGCGTCGGGGATCTCTGGGAACGCCTAGAATCAGGAGAGAAAGACACACACAGACACAATGAATCGTCGATTCCCAGGACAACATGGGAAGTGGGGGGGAAGGCGAAAACCCAGAAAAGAGGGGACCATGTGAGGAATCCTAGGCTTTGTGCTTGTTGATTTGCGTATCCCTGGGCCTCTTTGATGGACCCTGAGATCCGACATAGCGGAGTAACTGCATCATCTTGAGAAATCACGACTGGAGCCGCGGACACCATTTGGTTCGCCATTCTTCGAGCCGGATCGATTGCGCCATTCTTCGAGCCGGATCGATTTGTGAGGGCTCCAGGGCCCGAAACGGGGCGAAAACGCTCGGCTCGAAGAAAGGTGAGACGCCAGGATCTCAGGGGAAGCTTCGAATGGCGGCCTTTTGGGCCCCACCCAGGCGGGCCTCCGGTGCTTCTCGGGCTGGACGAAAGGGGGGGATTGGGAAAGGGGGGGTTACGCAATTTGCTGCACGCAGCTGGTTTCGGCCCCACCGAGGGGCCCACTTCTCGATACATGGCCGCCTCCAGCGCCGGGAGGCGCCAGGAAAATCGGCTACGTGAGCTGATTCTCAAACCCCCCTTTGCTATCCCCCCCTTTCGCCAGGCCCGAGAAACACAGACTCAGGAGGAGAAAAAACACACGGACACAATCCATCGTCGATTCCCAGAACAAATAGGGGACAAAATATGGGAAGTGGGGGGGAAGACAGAAACCGAGAAAACATAGGAAAACCTGGGGAGGCCTGTTGCTTGTGTCTATTTCTTTGTGTGCCCCAGGGCCCCTCTACGACTGGTGCACCCGAGGCAGAGACTCCCCCTTGTGCCCGGCCCGTGCCCTCCGGCCGGCGGAGGCGCTCGCCGCGGCGGCAGCGCGCGCGCTCGCGCTCGCGCTCCGCGAGGAGGTGGGCGGCGCCGGGGTCGCGGGCCAGTGCGCCGGCCGCTCGGGCGGGGCAAACATACGCCGATGGAGTGGGGGATCGATTCTCTGGGCTCAGGTCGGGCCTGTCCCTCTACAGGGGGAGTATACAAAAATAAGCAAAAAATAGTCGGGGGTCTATTTTTATACAATTTTTGATTTTTTTTAGGTTTTTTTTTTTGGGGGGGGGGGTATTTGAAATGTTTCGTCCAAAACATCGGGCGAAGAGAACTATACACATGCACCGATCCTGGCAAGGCAAATCCTTTGCCCCAGGATCTTGCATATACCTTCCTGGCCAAGGTAGGAGGCGTATGCACCAATCCTGGGCTCAGGGTGGGCCTGGCCAGAATCGGTGCATGTGCATAGTTCTCTTTCCTCTATTATAAACATACGCCGATCGAGTAGGGGATCGATTCTCTAGGCTTGCGCCACACCCGCCGACCCCTTCAAATTTTCTGGACTGGAGGTGTTTTGGGCATTGCTTACTCCCTGGAGATGGATTCCGCACTGGCGCTACACCAAGCGAAGTTTCGGGAATAAGGAAGTGGAAGGAGAGCAAAAAGGAAGGGCGACGATCCTGGGCGGGTGCCAGCAGCCTCGTCAGGGCCAGCGCCTCCTCCCCCAGGCGGCCGTGGTCCTCCACCACGAAGGGCACCACAGCCACCCCGGGGTAGCGGGCCCGCTTGCGCCGCGCCGCGGCCGCCGCTGCTGCGCCGTCCCGCCGCGCCGAGCCGAGCGCGAGCGCGTCTTGTGAGCGCGCTCACCACGGTCAGGTCGACCATGAGTGGCTCAGCTAGGCCCGGGGCGTGGACGACGAGGTCCATCCGCGCCTCCGGGCTCGCCGGCGCGGCGTGCGGGAGGAGGACTTCTCGGTGTACGGTACACCCTTGTTCCTCGCACCACTCCGCGAGCGCCGCGCAGCCCGCGTCGTGGCGGCAGACCAGCCATCCGCCCACCTTGCAGCCGCGGGCGTGCCGCCCCTTGGGGTCCAGTGGCGCGCCGCAGACTCTGCCTTTGGGGTGCCGGTGCTGGCAGAGCCTCGGCGGCCGTGGCCCTGCTGCGCCTGCCGCGGGCGCGGGGGCCGTGCAGCCAGGCAGGTCGAGGTTGAGTCGGCACCGCAGCGCAATATCCAACTGCGCGTTGGTCAGCTGGTGGCAGGGCCGCGTCGGCACCTGCAGGAGTGCGCTCGCTCCCGGGCCTCCCGCGGAGCGCAGGGCGGCCGCCGCCGAGGGGTCCGCGGCCGCTTCGTCGGCGGCGAGGCGGGCAGCCGCAGCGATGGAGGCCGTAGCCAGGGTGTGCTGCGTAGGTGCTAGTGCCTCGTCCCACGTGGGCGGTGTCGTTCCCTAGCGCGGCCCGGAGCGTCGCCGTGGCCGCAGGCAGGGCGCGGCGCGCCCAGGGGGTCAGCGCTGCTAGGGCGGCGGCGCTGTCCATGCCGAGCCGCCGCAGGCAGTGCGGCTGGCAGAGGTGCCAGGAGGCTGCGCTCGCCGCGGGGGCCGCGAGCTCCGCGCTCTGCAGTCCGTAGCCTCCGGCGGCGCCGGCAAGAAAGAGCTTCCTGCGCGTGGCGTCGTCCAGCGGGTCGCCCAGGCGTGCGCGTACTCCGCGGCCAGCGCCCCGTCCAGAGCCCGCGCCTCCAGAGCCCGTCCGCGTGCGCAGGATCGAGTGTGAGCGCCACGTGCTTGTCCAGGCCCGCCGCGTAGAGAGTGCGCAGCCTCTGGTAGAGCCTCCCGCGGGCTGTCTGCAGCGCCGACACCTCGGGGCTGCCCTCGGCGAGGAGGCTCCCTTGCGCCGCCGCAGCGGCGGGGGTCGCTGGGACCGTCGGCGGCGCGCCGTGGCGGAGTACCAGGGCCCGGGGTTCTAGCTCGCGCCGCCCAGGGAGCGCCGCCACGTCGACCTCCCGGCCTGGGCTCAGCTTGGTCTTGGCCGGGTTGCCGCGGAGGCCTACCGCGGCGCAGGCGCGCGCGAAGGCTCCCTCGGCGGCGGGGGCTTTGGAGGGATCACGCATGACGTCGAGGTCATCTTGGTAGCAGTACCCCCTCGCCGGTTCCGCCGCGGTGGTTGCTGCCTGCTCCACGGCGCCAGCCACCCCGTGGTAGCGCAGATGGAACACCTGGTTGGTGATGGCGTCTCCCTGGTCCCCGCCACGCTCCTTCGGGAGTCGGGTCCGCGTGCCGTCGCGCGCCACGTGCACGTGTGTGGCAGCCGTGCACAGGCCCAGGCGCGCCCAAGGCAGCAGGTCCGGGACCAGGGCGGACACCGCTGTCGCCGCGGGCCTCCCAGTCAAACTCGTTGTGGGCGTTACTCACGTCCAGGCTGACCTTGCAGCAGCGCGGCCGGCAGTCGAGGTCGAGCAGAGCTGCCTTGTGCATGCGTTCTGCCCCCCGGGCGCTCCCCACTGAGTACTCGTACTGCCCCAGCGCCGCGGCCGCCCTGCCAGTGAACATCCGGCCGACGGCCTTCTTCGAGGCGGCGCACCGGTGGACGTTACCCAGCGCAAGGGGTCGCATCTTTTTTTCTTCCTCCCGGTCGCCCGCCGGGATCCGTGCTGACAGCCAGGGCCCGTGCACCTCTCCAGGGACCCGACCGAGCTGCAGCCGCAGGACCACTTGCTGGAAACTCTCCCAGGCCGCCGCGTGACGAGGCATCCACGTCCAGTGCTCGTTCCTCGTGCCGCCTGGCCCGGCCCCCCCGCGGCGCGTGGGTGTAAGCCTTCCGGAGTTCGTCCAAAAAACGGTCCACGTCCTCCTCCTCCTCCGGGTCCGCCGCCATCAGGGCGGGCTGCGAGGGCGCCCGCGGCAAAAGGCTGGGGAGGCACCGCTGGGCCTTGCTGTCGGAGGCCATCTGGGTCCGCCCGTCCACGACTCTGAGGGCCTCCCGGATGTCTTCCTCCGCCAAAGCCTCGTTAATGCTCTGGATGTCCCGGGCCAGCTGCTGTGCCTCGGACGGCGCCGCGGCTCCGAGCTCTCCCGGTGGGACCTCGGACTCGGACGTCCCAGCAGCCTTCCCACGCCAGCTGGATGCGCCTCGCCAGGGTCCGGGCCAGTGTTTCGCCCCTCTGGCCCCGCGCCCCTCCTCGATGCTTGCGGGCAGCGGCGAAGAGCAGGCGGTCCGAGAAGAGAATCGCCTTCAGGAGCCGCGTCTGCTCCTGCTCCGTGGTGGCCGCGAGCATGGCGTCGCACAGGACCTTACGCAGGTCTGCCACCGCGCACTGGATGGCCTGAGGAACCACGCGGACAGTGCGCACCGGGTCGTGCAGGCGGTCCCACGGCAACAAATCCCAGAACTCCATGCGCTGCAACTCCCCGTACTGAACCTCATCCTCCCTCCTCGGTTCATGCCTCTTCCTTTGTTCTTCTGCTCTTCCCGCAGCTGCCTCCGGAGCAGATCTGGCCAGGGACCCGGCAGCAGTTGCGGCATCGCCAGCGGCAGCCTCGAAAGCAGCCTGCGCCTCTGCCTGCTTTTCCGGGCGCAGGTGGCGCCATCCAGTGAGCTGCTCGACCAGGCCGCACTGGGACGCAGCGCACCCAATGTGGTGCACGCGAGCGCCCTGCCGTCCCCGGCGGACGCGCGGCGCCCAGGCTGGGATCTCCTCCAGGCAGCTTGCACACATCGAAAGGGTGCGCGAAAAGGGGGCAGAGATGACCCACGCTCCACCTCCTGGCGTGGTTCCATCGTCACCCTCGTCTGGCGGGCGCTGCCGCCGGCGCCCTGGCGCCTCCACCGCAGCCGCCGGCGCAGCGCTTGGGTCCGCTTCAGCCTCGGTCCCCACCCCTGCCGCTGGTGCAGCGCCAGGGGCGTCGCCGCTGGTGCGTCGCCGGGGTCCATCTCCATGGTGTAGGTGTGCCTGCAGTGCCGCCGCCGCCGCCCAGAGCAGCAGCGCAGGGGCCCGGGCGATGGCACGGCGAGAGGGGAAAGGCGGGAGGGTGAAAGGGGGAATGCAGGGGACGAGGAGGGAGGGCCCGGCTGGGCAACGGCTGCGCGCGATTCGAGTCCTCCTCCTCCTCCTCCTTCTCCTCCTCCTCCTCCTCCTCCTCTCCTCCTCCTCCTCCTCCTCCCTCCTCCTACTCCTCCTGGGCCTCCAGGGTGGGGGGAAAGCCTCGCTGCCACGGCCAGTCCTTCGCCTATGCCAGACGAGCACCGCGCCCCGGGAGAGTTCTCCTGGGAGCAGCGCACCCTGAGGTCCGGCGTCGCGAAGGACTCCCGTGGATCGGATGCCGTGATTTTCCAGCAGTGGTGAAGCGCCCTGGCTCGCCTATAGCCCTACCAAACAATGTTCTGAGAACCTTTTGTGGCTCCCACGAAATCATCTTAGAACATTTCTGGCGGAGTCTGTCTTGTTTAAGCACATCGGGGTTGTGTTCTAAGAACATCGTTTTGGTTCTTTGAACATTTTGGGGTTCTAAGAACATTTCGTGGTAGGACTATAGGAGTGCCGGGACGGTCGGTTCCTGTCAATCTGGGGGGCAGCGGCACCCCGAGGTCCGGCGTCGCGAAGGACTCCCGGGGATCGGATGCCGTGAGTTGTCGTGGCGCCAACATCGCAGAGCGGATTTCGTCCGGAAGACGAGAGGATGGGCCTGGAGTGTCCCCTGGAGAATGTCTTTCCGGATTTCGAGGTCAAGTTCGCGCGGATTTTTTTTCGGGGGGGCCAGGAATGAAGACCAACAGTAATCCACGCGAAATTCGCTTCGTTTTTCGCTCGCCGCTTCGGGAAAAATTCCACGCAGAAGTCTACGCAGCAGTCCGCTGCAGCACGTCTGCAAGGCCAGTGCAGTGAGATTTGTTCAATCGCCAGACCCCCTCGCGTTGTGAACAAGATTGCGACGGGAGGTTTTTGGCTGGGTTCGGCCTCCGGGGGCCCCTGCCGGGCACCCAGACCGTCAAAAAACGACTCGGGACGAAAAACCGGTCTTGGGGAAGGCGTCCAGATTTCTGCTGAGAGTCGACGCGCTGTGCAAAGATCACGACGTCGGGGTCTGGGTACCCAGAGATCCGACGTCGTGATTTTTTCAATACGGGGTCACGGGCATTCTCGACTCTTTCCCCAGGGCCAGTTTTCCATCCCGAGTCGTTTTTTGACGGTCCGGGGCCCGGCGAGGGCCTCCATGGGCCGAAAGCGGCCAGCAACCTCCGTCTTGATTTTTCAATGCGTAGGATCTCTGGGAGCGGAGCTGGGTTTAAGTCGGGCTTGTCCCTCTACAGGGGGAATACTCAAGAATAGTCAAACAATAGTCAGGGGACTATTTTTGGAATACCTGTGGGCATCTTTTGGGTATGTCTTGAGTAGACCATGTTTTGAATACTTTTGGGCATCTCTTGAGTATGTTTGAGCATTGTTCCTTTTCCGTCGAAAGTCGCCCTGCAGGGGGCGGGAGTCCCGACCCTGTTCCCCCGTGGCCGGCTCTTCGCCCGGAGGCGCTTCCTGGACGGGTGCGGGGTCGGGCGGGGGCCTCGAGAGGCCGAGGAGGGCGAGGAATTGCCGTCTCGATTTTGTTCGGGAGTGCGGGGCACCGTACGTGCACTGCCAGGGGCGGCGGCCCGTCCTCCCATCTTACCATCATAGGGGGATGCGAAGTCCCTGTGGGCACGAGCGGGCATCATAGCCGGCTCAACATCAAAACAGGCATCATAGCCTCATCAATCTAGATTGATCCACTCACGGATCCACTGCAATTGATTTTCATTGAATTCATTCCATCCGTAGCATGCTCTCTCCTACCCTGTCACGTCGATTAGTGGATTGTCCGTTTTCGGTTCTCGGGAGGGCGCCGCGGCCGTTATTTTCCAGGCTTGCGCCCGCCAGGTTTGGGCCTCGGGTCGTTTTCGCCGAGCCACGTTTAACGAAAGGGGGGTCTGTCCATCCCCGATTTTTGGCACGTCTTCAATGCGTTGGATCTCTGGGAACGTGCAGCGTCGTGGGGTAGCACGAAGTCGGGCGTGTCCCTCGACAGGAGGGGTACCCAAGAATTGTCAAAAGATAGCCTGGGGACATTTTTTTTTGGGGGGGGGCATCTTTTTGAGTATTTTTTGATGTTTTTTCATTTTTCGCCCAAAATCCCCGTGTAGGGGGACAGACCCGACTTAAGGGTAGCACGCTCGGAGCCCTGCACCCCATCTTTACTCGGGGGCGGTAAAGAGGGGGGGTGATGACCAGGGCGGGGTGGGCGTCGTGGCGAGGGCCGTGATATTTCCCCAGATCTCACGGCGCCTCTTCTTCTCTCATTGCGTCCCTGGCCCCCCCCCGCAGGGCCGGTCACATGCCGCCGGCCATGATTTGCACCTCCCCCTCTTGGACGCCCACCTCTTGGACGCCCCCGACTTATGCCCGCGGCATCTCTCTGGGCCAGACATGGCCAAAAACATGACCCGGCAAATTTTGGAAATTCGCCGGGGCATCTTGTTGTGTTTTTTTTATACGTCTTCCGTCTGTTGCCAAACTGGGCTCAAGTGTTCAGGGCCCGCCTCTCCCACTCTGGGAAGGTGGCCGCTGTAAGTGGCCAGAGTGCTGAGTGGAGTGGCTGGCTGCGGCCTGCTCTGAGGCCGGCAGCTTGCAGTGGCCTTCAGACGGCCCCGTTCCCGTCCGTGGCGCGACCGCGCCGCCCAGGTGCGGAAAAACAAAAAATGCCCGCGGCATCTTTCTCGAGCCTGGTGCCGCTCCTTGCGAGAGGCTCCCGGGGCCCGGCCTGGGGAGCGAGGACAAAAGAGGCTTGGCGCAGACAAGTTGCGACGCCATTCAGGGGCAACGACAGGGGGGGATCGCCGACAGGGGCCCGATAGCCCACCCCACTCAGCGACGTGGGTATCGGCCATCGGGGGCTTATCGCCGATCTACTGGCGACCTATCGCCGCATTCCAGGTCGATGTTCCCCCCCTGTGCCAGCCCCTCCCATCCCCCCCCCCCTATCGTTGCCCCTCACCCATACCCCCAACGTCATGATTGTTTCATGACGTGAACCCCCAGAGGTCCCATCCCCCCTCGCGCTGTGAAAAAGTCACGACGGCAGGTTTTTCGTTGTCTTCGGACTCTGGGGGCCCCTACTGGACCCCAGGACCATCAAAAAACGACTCGGGGTGAAACACTGGTTTTGGGTAAGGGGTCCAGACCTCTGCGGGTCGACGCTGTGCAAAAATTACGACGTCGGAGGTCTGGGGTCTCGACGCATTCCCCAGGCAGCGGTCTTACAGATAAATCGGGCCCGTCCCTCTACAGGGGGGATATTCAAAAATAGTAAAAAGATAGTCTGGGGATTTTTTTTGGAGTACTTTTGGGCATCTTTTGAGTATTTTTGGGGGTATGCTTTATTTTTCGTCCAAAATCCTTCTGCAGGGGGACAGGCCCGACCTAATCCTGGGGGCATCGGTTGGACGGGGCTAGGACGAGGATTACTACGTTCCAAGCGTTCCGCTCAGAGCGTAGTTATCGGACCGGAACGCTTTGAGAAGGCCGCGGCGCCCGAGACATCTTCCAGAGCCGCCAGATTTCAGATTCTCGGGAGGAGGAGGAGGAGGAGGAGGAGGAGGAGGAGGAGGAGGAGGAGGAGGAGGAGGAGGAGGAGGAGGAGGAGGAGGAGGAGGAGGCGGAGGAGGAGGAGGAGGAGGAGGAGGAGGAGTCGATCCATCCTCACCCGAACTTGTCCTCGTCCTGGCTCCGTCTCAATCGGCGCCCTTGCGACCCACCAGGCGCGCCGCGCCTCGTCGTCGTCGTCATCCGCGTCCTCGCCGTCGGCATCGCCGGCCTCCTCGCGCTCCAGCTCGCAGTCGGGCGGCGGCCCCGCCGGCGGGGCGTCGCCGGCCGCCCCAGAGGCGGGCGGGCACGGTGACGACGATGACGACGACGGCGGCGGCGACGATGATGATGGCGGCGGCGACGACGACGACGGCGGCGGCGACGACGGCGGCGGCGACGACAACGACGGCGGCGACGACGACGACGGGCAGCCCAGAGCGAAGACAGAGCGAGGGAAAGCGAGAACAAGACGAAAACGAGAAACACCGTTCAGCTCGAGCCCTGGCCAAGAGGTCGGGGGCAGCGTCGCTCGAGCAGGAGATCACCTGCAGAAGGTATTTGCGCCAGGATTGACGTCTCCTTCGCAGCAGCTGCGAACAACCATGTAGGGCGCTCACAGATCTACGAACGCGCTACCTGTCTTGTTCTGTGCATTCCCCCTTGAGCTGATCCCCCCCTATTTCCCAGTGGGCGAAGAACGGTATAACATAAACTTTCCGCCGTCGGCGACGCCTGCCCTCCGGGCGGCTGGAAAGTTTATACCCCTGCGTGGCACCGTATTGGTATAACCTTTCCAGCCGCTTGGGGGGCAGGCGTCATGGCGCCAGCATCGCAGAGTGGATTTCATTCGGAAAGCGATAGGATGGGCCCAGGGGGCCCTGGAGAATTTCGTTCTGGATTTCGAGTTTAATTTCGTGCGGATTTTACTGTTGGTCAGGAATGAAGAGTAAACAAAACATCCATGCAAAATTCACGTCGTTTTTCGCTCGCCGTTTCGGAGTTTTGCATTGGCAGAAACCCACGCAAAAATCCGCTGCAACACGTTTGTAAGGTCGGTGCAGTGAGCAGGCGTTCCCGACGGCGGAAACGTTTATACCGGTCGCCGCCCGCTGAAGTCAACGTCTCCCCTGGTTTGGTTTTCGGGCCATAGTTTTAAGTCGGGCCTCTCCCTCTACAGGAGGAATGTTCAAAAATAGTTTAAACATAGTTTTTTGTTGTTGTTTTTGTTTGTTTGTTTGTTTTTGTTTTGACTATTTTTGAACAGTCGGGGTATCTTTTGAATTTTCAATGATAGAAGCATTCTCGCCCAAAATCCACTCCGAGCCACCGCTCCGCTCTCCGACCCGGACACCCCCCCCCCCCCGGCGGAGCGCTCTCGACGAGGCGCCGCCTCTGGGCGCAGGCGCCCCGAGGCTGGAGGGAGCCGCGCGGAGCCTCGGCGGGGCCCTCCCCGAGCCTCGAGCCCGGGTCCCGACAGAATGGGCGACCAGGAATCGCGCTGTGTTGAGATCTCTCTTTCCGTACGGCGGGTTCGCGTCGTGCCGACCAGCGGCGGCCCCAGCGCGGGCGTTCCAGGTTGAACGCCGCTGGCGACCCAGAATCGATCGACGTTGAACGATCGGACGTTGCTTCAGCGGCCGATCGTTCAAGGTTGAACGATCCCTGCGGTGTCAAGAACCAACGCTGGGGTCGGCACGACACGAACCTGCCGTACCAGGAATCGCGCTGTGTTGAGATCTCTCTTTCCGTACGGCGGGTTCGCGTCGTGCCGACCAGCGGCGGCCCCAGCGCGGGCGTTCCAGGTTGAACGCCGCTGGCGACCCAGAATCGATCGACGTTGAACGATCGGACGTTGCTTCAGCGGCCGATCGTTCAAGGTTGAACGATCCCTGCGGTGTCAAGAACCAACGCTGGGGTCGGCACGACACGAACCTGCCGTACCAGGAATCGCGCTGTGTTGAGATCTCTCTTTCCGTACGGCGGGTTCGCGTCGTGCCGACCAGCGGCGGCCCCAGCGCGGGCGTTCCAGGTTGAACGCCGCTGGCGACCCAGAATCGATCGACGTTGAACGATCGGACGTTGCTTCAGCGGCCGATCGTTCAAGGTTGAACGATCCCTGCGGTGTCAAGAACCAACGCTGGGGTCGGCACGACACGAACCTGCCGTACCAGGAATCGCGCTGTGTTGAGATCTCTCTTTCCGTACGGCGGGTTCGCGTCGTGCCGACCAGCGGCGGCCCCAGCGCGGGCGTTCCAGGTTGAACGCCGCTGGCGACCCAGAATCGATCGACGTTGAACGATCGGACGTTGCTTCAGCGGCCGATCGTTCAAGGTTGAACGATCCCTGCGGTGTCAAGAACCAACGCTGGGGTCGGCACGACACGAACCTGCCGTACCAGGAATCGCGCTGTGTTGAGATCCCTCTTTCCGTACGGCGGGTTCGCGTCGTGCCGACCAGCGGCGGCCCCAGCGCGTGCGTTTGAGGTTGAACGCCGCCCGTGGCCCAGAATCGGCCCGTCGTTGAACGATGCGGCGTTCACGGAACGGCCGATCGTTCAAGTTTGAACGATCCCAGCGGTGTCAGGAGCCAATGTCGGAGTCGACACGACGCGAACTTGCCGTACGCGAAATCACTCCATTTACTATGCTGTGTCGGCAAAGTGTCAAGGGACCGACCTTCAGATTCGGTACTGGGGCTTAGAGCCTGGGTCCAGGCTTCCTGGACGGGGTCGGAGTGGACGGGGCCGGAGGCTCGCGCCGCATCGCCGATGCATCGGCGACGCGGCGCGGTGCGGAGCCCGATCTGCTCCACGCTGACGTTGCCGATGCACCGCCGACGTCGACGGTGCATCGCTGGTGCATCGCCGATGCATCGCCCATGCATTGCAGATGCATTGCCGATGTATCGGCGATGCGGCGTGATCCGCCGACCCCATCTACTCCGACCCCATCCAGGAGGCCTCTTCTGGGGTGAATCAGTTCTGCAGTCGACCTACTACTCAAATGTCTTAGGGGGGGGGGGACAGGCTCAAGGTGAGGTGCGGGATTTTTGGACGCCTTCGCCTGTTCTTGGCGGCCCCCCAGTGTCGGGAGGCCTCCCGGCGGCTGCGCCTCGACGGGAGCGCTCTCGTGGGGTGCCCAGATCGCCCCGAGCGGCCGCCCGAGGCCCGAGCTCTGACCCGAAGGCAAGCAGGGGACCTTGTAACTCGTAGAGCTTCCCTTAGCTAGTTGCTGGAAGGTTAAGAGTAATTCCGGCGCGCTGGGGAGCTAGTTGGCAAGAAACATCTCGACGGACTTTTTGGTGACTTTTGCTCGGTTGAAAACTATGTTCTCGAAATTCAACAATTCGTCTGATTCCCGTGATATTCGATCTGATTCCCGCTCGCCGTCTTAATCTCAGCTCGATCGGGTACCTATTACTGCCAAAAAGCACTCCGGCGGGATCGGCTGTTTGCAGTCATCTTGACTGGCGTTGTCGGTTTTCGGTATTTATCCTGAGCTGTAGCAGAGCCACAGAGCTGGTACGCACACGTAATCGATTCAGAATCATCATGCGCGTTTGTCTGAAGCATCTAGAGGTCTGAAATCGGTCTGCTACTCGAGCTAGGTCCGCGAAGGTATTCGTATTCTATTGATTTTTTGGAGATGATGGTGAGTTCCTTCACTGAGATCGAGCTGCAGATGAGCTTCAGAGCTCTTCGGCACAGCAAGCGGAAGGAAATCATCAGGCGCGCTAGTCTGAAGTATCGAGACGCTTGGATTGGGTCTGTTATGAGCGCAGACGCCGAACAACTAGTCATACTCTGCGATTTTTCTGGTGATGGAATTGGTTTTCTTGACTGAACTCGAGGTGTAGATGAGCTCCAGAGCTCTTAGGCACAGCAATCGGAAGACAAATTTCAGGCGCGCTATTTGGAAGTATCTAGACGCCTGAACTCAGTCTGCTATCAGCGCTCGGGCTGAACAACTATTCGTACTCTGCTAATTTCTGGGAGATGATATTGGTTTTCCTGGTTTTACTCGTGCTGCAGATGAGCTACAGAGCTGTTCATCACAGCAATGGGAAGATAATCATCAGGGGCGCTAGTTAAATGTATATAGACGCCTGAAATGAGTCTGCTATCAGCGCTCGGGCTGAAAAAACTATTCGTTCTCTGCTAATTCTTTGGAGATGGTACATGGCAAGGAAGCTCTACGAGTCTCCCAGCGGTAACGAAGGTTGACGGTTTACCGCTGGCG